AGAGAGAGAGAGAGAGAGAGAGAGAGAGAGAGAGAGAGAGAGAAAAGCTTGTGATACTTTAATATATTCCCAGAATTTAGTATGTTCTTTCTGCTAAAATGGAATTATCTGTATTAATGAATGATTTCCAAAAATGAGTTAAATTAATCTAACATTAATATATATGTGAAAAGCTTTCAAATACAAAAACTACGTGTTGTCATCTGAGCAAAGAGCATGTACGCCAGACATTTTTGTTTTACTTACTCAGATCAGTACTGCTTCCCTGTGAAATACTTACAAGCTTAGAGAGTTTATTGGATGTCTTTGGAAGCTTAATTCTGTTTCCTTTGTCCCAAAATAACACTGAAAGGGTTGTTTGCCTCATGAATGTGGGAGAGATAGATAGTAAGAGTAAGGGAGTCATTTTTTTCTTTTATCTCCTGTATCAGATGTGAACCTTTCACGTGTGTCTTAGCCAAGAGAATATAAGCATTAATATAAAAGCATGTGTGTCTTAGAAGTACATACTGTATTTGTTTTCTTGAATCCTTTTTGTTAGTTATTTTTTTTCATAAGTGGATACTGGTAATAAATGACTAATTTGTGTCTAATTGAATGCAAGAATAATATTTTACCTCCAGAAGATTTATTTTTAGCATATAACATTTTTTCGTTGCCTTTTGCCCATTCCTAAAATTGCTAATAAACAAAATTGCTAGCACAATGATTTCTTAGAGCTTTAAGAAGTAATTTTGCCTCTTAAAATCAAAGTTAACATCAGTGGTTTTTTTAATTTTGAAAATAACTTTAGAAAGTACTAATTTCACTTGCATTTCTATATTTAAAACAATGTCCTATATAGGAGCCTTTCTTTTAAGCCTACGTAATTTACCAGATTTTAATTTTTTTAACAAAACACGCTTATGTCAACTCACGAGAACATAAATTCAGTCAGCAGTCTTTCCAGCAAGGCATTTAATCTCTGCCTCTAATGAAGGGATCGTAGGATGTTTTCTGGAAACAGTTGTTTTTCAAGTCCTAAACCTTGAAAATCCCCACTAGAGAAGGTGACTGTGTACTGAATGACAGCTCCCAAATATTCAGAAGTTATTTTGTCTCAAAAACTAGAAGTCCTTGCCTTCAAAAGCTTTTTTCTGTATCTTTAGCTTTACATTATTATTTTTTAACACACTTGAACATTGAAGGGAAGATTTTTCCCCTTGTGAAAAACAAATGTGTTCTTTTGGGTGTCTAAATGGAGATAAGCTTGGGCTGCTTAAAGATAAACCAATAACTAGGATTTTCCACAGTTACTATTTTTATTATAAAAAAATCAGAGCAGTAAACGCAAACATGTATCACAAACCTATAAATACCAGGAAATAGTTTTCGGTTTCTAAAGAAAAGTTTCATAACACTTCTGAAAATGGCTGATTATTGGTTCACTTACTCTTTAATTATTTCTTGCTTCTTCTCTCCTTAATGTTTGTGGTAGATTTTTGCCATGGTTTGATTCTTTCACATAAGAAAATATGAACTAAACTCTTGACAGTCTCCTTGCATCTCTGAAAGTCCAGTTTCTACTCGATGATAATAAAAGAGAATAATTTTAAAAGGTGAATGATTGTTTGCAAATCAGCTATTTAAATATCTGGCAAGAGGATTACAAAATTTAACTCTCTGAGGCCGAAAAGTATTTCATTAAGGATTCAGTTCTGATGTGAGATGCTTACTTCAATTTTTCCATGTGCATGTTGTCTGAAATGTCACACGTAACCAGTGAATCCATTTTCATTATTACCTTTTTTCTTCTTTCTGTTGTTTTCGATAGCCAGGCTTCCCTTATCCATCCCCTCATCATCACTCCGGTCTGATCTCCTCTCCGATCAACTTTGAGCACATCTATCACATGACTGTTAATTCTGCTGAAAATTTTCTCTCTCCTGATTCCATAAACCCTGAATATTCCCCGTCTCTACGCTCTGTCCCGGGTACACCAAGCTTTATGACTCTGAGGGTATGAACAGCCGAGTCAGGTGTTAACTTCACTAACCCCGTGTGGCCCTCCTCTGCCTGCTTCATAAGTAACACCGCCGAGGTGGTGCGTTTGTGAGCGTTTTCCTTTGGCCTCTTTCTCTGTTGGCCAAACTTCTGTTCATTCTCTTCTTCCTCCTCATTCTTCAACTTCTATTTTGTTTCTTCTTTTGAGGAAAAAGATGAGGACTAAGGAGGATTTCTGTTTTATTTTTGAAGCAGCACTGGAAGACTTTCTATATGTAATACAATATTTTCCCATCGTGGTATTTTTCATGACAGATGCCATGATGAGAAATAACCTGCCTAAGTGGGTCTTTATTCCGTGGAAACAAACAAAAAAAGGGATCCCAGAATTTCTGAATTTTTTGTAGCTCACTCCCCTAGAACCAGTTGAATTCAGAGAAATTTTTTATATTTAGTGGAATTAAAGTCTGTAGTCGGGCCTATCCACAGGCCTTCTATCTATAATAAACCCTTTCTGGCACAGCTTAAAAACCTCCACAATAAAAAGTCTATTAGTATTAATGATAACAGGGAAAATTACAAAAAGGAGATAGTCTTTCTAATCTCTGAGTTGCTGATGTGCCATTAATTCCAACCGGGATCCAAGATAAGAGAACTAAGGCAAAGAAAGAAAAACTCAAACTGTGCTGCCTTCTCAGGGACCATGGCGCCTGCTGTCAGCCCATCCGTTCAGCCTTATGTCTTTGTAACCAGTGGCTTTGCAGTGGGACAGAAAGCTGGGTATCCATATTTCCATCAGGAAATACATGCTTATAATAACTTCAAGGGAGCATTTTCTCAAGTTAGTTTTGCAGATAATGAAATATTTGAATCGTACCATATAAACCCATTTCCTCTAGTGCCCTCTGAGTTATAAAAACGGTAGCATCAGTCTTTATTTGTATATATAGTAAAATAGTTTTCCAATAAGAAAACTAGCTATAGAGTGAGAAGTTTATTTTTGTACTTCTGTTTGTATTATAAATTTATTCTACATTATAATGTTTTAAATGTCATTGACATTAAACTATAATGCCATTTAAGTGTCTTATTTAACAAAATAAGATTACTTATGATAAAATAAACCTTAATTTGCTTGGTAACAGATTCCAGGGTATGCGTTCTAGAGGAACACTGCATAAATCTATCAAGAGCTGTTCATATCAAAGATGGTGGAAATGTTGCTCAAGTTACTCATTTATAAATAGACACACTACTGTCAGTGGAAGTTTTACCCTCATCGTAAGCACATTTGTACATGGAAAGGACCAGCAGCTTAGGTTTCATATCACATTATAATGAAGTTGAACTTTAGCTGAATGAATAATAAACTGTTGGGTTTTATTTTTTTAACAAAACATATCTTCTGTGTATCATACTTTTGTTACTGCAACTGGTATATTTGTACAGGCTTAATTTTTGCCATGTATTCTAGGGTAGGTTTGTTTTATAGAAAAGGACAACACACGAAGGTATCTTAAGGTTTATAGCAAAAGCAGTAAAAGTTTAAAGGTTGAAGCTGATGTGCCCGTCTCTTTTGAGCTTTCCTTTGCTGCACTGTGCACATGTCGCTGGTGCCTTCCAGGGTTGCTGCTGTACGCGTGAGTGTTGAAATGCTAGCAGTGACTTAAAATGTTTAATTTTCTTAGAGGAAAAAAAAGAAAGGTAAAGCATTTGCCTTAAGCATATAACACACTAAGGATTACATGGACTTTGCAAATTTGATGGATGACCCAAAATGGCCGTAGTTGAAGTTGGGGTCAGCCAGCCAACTTTCAGTATGTGCGATTCTTCAAAATGTATGATTTGGAACTTTCCAAGTGCTGTTAATGCATATTTTCCCCCTGATGGCTAGCTTTGGCCCCGCAATAGTTGTTTTTGCCATAACCTTGTCTCAGGTGTCAGCCCTGACACGCTTTCTTCTGGTCTGAAAAGGTTGAGGCCAAGAAGGCCACAGGCTTGCAGTCTCTGCCATGTTGAGACAGCTTGTCCTACACACCTGTTCTCAGGTGTATGTGACTTCCAGATCACTCCGTGGCCCATTTTCCTCCCTTGGACACCAAAATTATTAAATAATTAGATGGAAAACTTCTCAAACCAATATTCTCAAGTTAAATTGCATCACCCAGGCTATGATTGTTGCAAATGTCCTATTTATGACTCTGCTGGTCTGTTTATATGAGGTAGTCCTGAGGCCTGGTGACTGGCAACATGAAAGTGCGAATGGCACATTTGGTATCATGCCAGTAAGGTATTTACTTGAAAGAATGTACTTTTAATTGATTTTCCCCTAAATGGTTTGTTCGATTATTGAGTTATCCTAAGCAAATAAGAATCTCATACATAGTAAGACCTTTGTTTCTGTTATGTGCAAATGTCCATGTGATTCTACCCTTCACTGTCACTCCTAACCATGTAATTCTTTGTACTTACTGTTCTCACAACAGCAGCAACAAACTCGCATTTATGGATAAGTATTTCAGTAAGCATAAGGATAAGCACTTCTGGTGTGGGGTGAGGGTTACTTCTGTTAGGGCTGTAGTATTTAGTATTAATACTTTGTGGGCAGGAGGGATTCTGTAATCTGTTCCTTGTTCCATATCACTCTGGTCAAGATCATTTTATTTCTTGCAATTGTAGTGATTTTCTTTGCAGAAAATCACTTTCTCTTTAGCTGAAGAATTTTTCTTTCTCTTTTATGTTTAGAACCCTCGGCCTCAGGAAAGCCGGACAGTATTCAGTGGCTCTGTCAGTATTCCATCAATCACCAGATCCCGCCCTGAACCCGGCCGCTCCATGAGCGCCAGCAGTGGCCTGTCGGCAAGTAAGTGGCCCCAGCTGCGGAGGGCACAGCAGTACCCCTGCCGCCCCAGACATCCCGGGGGCTGAATGTCACCCTGACCCACTCGTGCGTGCATCCATGCATTGCCGGGTGGCTGCAGGCCCTGCTGGAAATGCAGCATAAGTGCAAGTGCAGGTGTTGAGAAAATAATCATGGAGTCTCTTAGCGCTTACCGTGCACCTGGGAGACAAACCATGTGATGATGGATGCTCTGGCGGAAATAAATAGGGTAGAGTAATAGAGAATAACCTCGGGCAGCTGTTGGATGAAGTCGTACTGAGAAAAATTAGGAAAATCTCATGCCCCCTTCAGGAGTGAAGTCACGTTTGAGTCATGTTGGATCAATTGACAGAAGGCCAGTGTGGCTTCCTGGCGGGGGGGGGGGGGGGGGGGCAGTCATGGAGTGGCAGAAACTACAGTGCAAGAAGTGGGCCAGGGTCAGATCCAGTAGGGACTTGGAGACCTAGATGAGTCATTTTTAATCTTTTTAAAAACACAACTGGGAAGCTGTTGAAGAGTTTTAAATAGGAAAGGACCTGTATCCAATTAACATTCTTAAAAAGCTCCCTCGGGCTGCTGAGTGGAGAATGGACGAGAGGCTGCACGAGGCTGCACGTGTGCGTCCTGAGGGGTGGCCCGGAGAGTGGCCGGGTGAGCTGCTGGGCCTGGGACCCGGCAGGAGGAGAGAGTGTCCTGATCCACTGCCAGAGGTAGGAACACTGACTCAGATGAGTTAGATGGCAGTTAAAAATGACTGAGGGTGATAGTGTTTACCAGCACTGAGCCAAGTCTGAGGGGCTGGGGGGCGTCCCAGGCTTGTACAAAGGTCCCAGGGTTGGAAAACCATTAGCATGTTTGTTTGGATTAACTGGAAGAAAGCCGGGGACAGGTTCAAGGATAGACCCCTTTGCCAGAAAAGCAAGCTAACACGCACCATTCATCCAGTGAACGTTTTGAGGTCCCATTAGCCAGCAGCTCTTCTGTTGAGGTACTGGGGGCTCACATCATACAGGACCAAGCACCTGCTTTTGGGGCCCACAGTTTTTATTATTAGCCTCTTGTTTTTAACACTGAGCGACAACCTCTCTTTTCCTGCACTCCTGTACAGAGCCCTGAGCTAAGGGACCCGAGGGAGAGAAAACCGCTCCGGTGCCGTTAGGTCCAGCCGTAGCCCAGGAACAGCTTGTCAGTGAGGAGGAATGGGGGAAGGTGTGTCAAAGATACTGTTTCCCTGAATAAAAGTGCACAGGATGCTAAAAGCGGCTTAGCTCGGAATGAGAGGACTGTACAGACGGAGTATTTGGCTGATTTACACATTAAACTTGAGTCTCAGAGTCACTGAGATTTGGCAGTTCCTGGAGTATAAGCGGGAAGACTCTTCCCTGCCAACAGCTGTTCTCTGTCACTGCCTCAGAAGCACCAGAGCACTGGCTTAGAGATCAGAGGGGCTGTGACTAGATAGAGGGTGCCGACATACAGCCCAGAACCTATGGGTCGTAACTTCAGTGAAACCTCTTCATTCCCTGCAACTGGCCTGTGAGAAACACGGACTGCGCAAAGTCCGGTTTCCCAGGTCAAAGCCCTTCCGTCCAAAACCAGCTTTGTTACCTGGTGTTTGTTCTTGAAGGACACCTGACGGAAGCCTCCTGGTACGGACGGAGCTCGTCCTCCGTTTGTCAAGTTCATTTACAAACATTACTGTCGGCGCCTGCTTTGTGCCCAGCTGGCCAGGAAGCGCCAAAGGTGGGGTCTTCAGCAGGCAGGCCCCACGCAGGTTATGAAGTCCCCTGGATTTGGGGGGTCATTCGATAGATGGGCTTCAAACAGTCATCTTTTGACATTTTCATTGAATTCTTAAGGTGATAAAACTAAATTGGGATTTGGTAAATAGCAAAACGTTGAAACAATCACAGTCTACATCTTAACAGTTGTACAAAAACTTCAGCACAGTCTTTTTTGACCAGTGATCTTAATATTAAAACTCAGCAAGATTAAAACATTTTTTGAGCAAAAGCTAAAGAATTAGAGGGAATGCTAAGAACTTTAAATAGGTACTCACAGTGCCCCAATATTTCCAAAGTTCTGGTCATCCCTCTTTTTTCCTCTGAATGGTGCTAGTACCCCTCTTATGTACCCCAACTCTTAAGATCACAGTAAGAGTGTGATTGTAAAGAAGCTCATCTCATTTTTGTATCAGGCTTTTTGCCATGTTCCTCTTGTGTTCCTTTTTTTTTATATAAAAATGCTCTAGGAGTTAAGTGACAGTTATGCATCAGGTGGAAAGTTCTTCATTTCGGGGACCTGTTTCATTCTGCTTCCTCATCCAGCACGTATGTTCTGAGCGCCTGCTATGTGCCAGGGCCTGTGCTGGGCCCTGGAGAGGCAAAGACCATCCATCACTTAGGAGAATGGGAGGCACGTAGTTGTAATGTCATAAATGCTGGGAAAGAGATGGTGAGATGCTGGAGGAGCTCCGGGCGATGGGACAGACAGTGAGGCAGTAGCATCTGAGCGGAGACCTGAGGGACTGACCCTGTGGGGACTGTCCAGCAAGCAGGGCTGGCCTGGCCCAGCCTGTCAGCGCAGGTGGCTTTAGGAGCGCTGCCCACTCACCAGGTTCCCCGATGGCTGGACCACAGCAAGCACAGCTGTGTGAGATGGCTGGGCTCTGGGGCGAGCTTGCTTGCCCAGGTAACACACCTGCACTCACTGTCCATCAGTGAGGGGCTCTAAGCCGGGAGGATGCCCCCAGGGTGGGCAGGATGGCCTGTCCCCTTCGGCACATGTGAAGTTTTACCTGAATGGTGTACTGTAGGGTCATCTGCACAGAATGGCAGTGCACTGAAAAGAGAATTCTCTGGAGGAAGCTACAGCGCAAAGCGACAGCCGCTGCCCTCGCCATCAGAGGGCTCACTGTCTTCCGAAGGCATGGACCAGGGGAGTGACGCCCCAGCCAGGGACTACGATGGGGAGGTGAGTGGAGCATGTGGGGCAGCTGTCTAGAGATGAGGGTTTGGAGAAGCCCTGTGTTAAATAGACCAATGCGTTCACTGTAGGCCAGGGGTGAGGAAGCGATCATGTGGGTTGCAAACTCCAGTTTCCACACAGGTGTTCAGACTTCTCGTAGCTTTTGTATGAATATGACCTACGTTCTAAAGGCCCACAGAAAGGACTGAGCATTTGTTATACTCGGTCAGCTCAGAAAGGGGGCTTGCTTTATCCTGACAGTAGAAAAGTCACAGTAGGTCATTTGGTCAGGGTGGCTGAAGGGGGGACCTGCGGTCCCGAGGCCCCCCTGTCCCTCTCTTCTCATTAATGTCTTCCTTTGGGCCTTACAGGACTCCGATTCTCCGAGGCATTCCACAGCTTCCAACAGTTCCAACCTGAGCAGCCCTCCCAGCCCCGTGTCACCTCGAAAGACCAAGAGCCTCTCTTTGGAGAGCACTGACCGCGGGACCTGGGAGCCATGAACTGTTCGGCCCTCAGACCAGAGGCCAGGCCGCTTCTCTCTCAGCTCCCCTCTCCCCACTTCTCTCACTTCCACCTGTTCCCTCCACCTCTGCCTGAAGCACCCAGGGTGGGGATTCAGGAATTCCGACAATGACTCCCTCGTCCACTTCGACTTCACAGCAACACCCATAAAGGCACACTTTCACTGAGCAGCTTAGATGAATATTGATTTCATTTCATCCACTTAGAGTTGCTTTCCATGATATTTCACCCCTTCCCCAAAAGGTAGCTTAAGTAGACAGATTACACAGATGTAAGCGCTAAGAATAAGGTTAGACAGACTTTGTTTTCACAGTAGTCGCCCTGCAGCCCTGAGGGAGCACATGGTCTCCAGTCGTCCCGCCAAAACCCACAGTGAATGTCGACCCGATTGTTGCCAGTAAATCCTTATTAACTAAAACAATGCATATTTTACTACAATACAGAGTTTAAATAAATACACAAATGTAGAGGTTAAATACTGAATGTATATAGTAAAAAGAAGCATCTTGTATTCAACGAAAGATGGATGCATATATAAGAGAGAGATCATTTAATTTAAAGAAATGTTTTGTTTCTTGTCTGTTTTCCAGCTACGTAATTTAAAGGGTAGAAGGGCCTCAAGCTGACACTTAGAGGGACAGCGAGAGGAATCAGGGTTCCCTTCAGTGCTGTCCTCACACTGGTGCAGGTCCCAGTGCCCTGGGAGCTTCAGGAAAACATTCTGCTTTGGTTTCAGTGGTTCGGGGTACGACCTGGGCACCAGACTGATACCATTTGAAGCCTCTTCAGCGGCAGCATCAAAAGGCAAATTACTTCTATCCAAGATACTTCTTTTCCTAGGAATAGAATTTGAGCCACACTTCTCAGTTTTTATTATATTTTGGTACCTTCTGCAGATGAATGTAGAAATGTAATTTTGTCACCTGGTCCCTTCTGTCACAAGGAACGCTGTGGCTTCTGAAGGTCCATAAAAGTGCTTTTATGCTGGGCCACCCTCCCTCCTGAGTTGCAGTGTCGTGTCTGTCCCCTAGCTGAGCTGGCTCCTCTGCGAGCAGTCTGATCGAGGGTTGTGTGCGCTTCCTCAGATAAGCCTGGGAAAGGGGTTAATTACCAAATAATATAAAACCTCACATGCAAGGACTTGAACAGCCTTAACCAAATATTCTTTCCCAAGCCCGGTAGGAAATGCGCACCTGGCACGCTGGCTAAGCTCTCCCTCCCTCAGCTGCTGGCTCGCGCTGGTAGTTCCAGTTCCCTTTGAATTCCTGCTGTTTCAATTACCACGCGGAGATGAGATGCAGAAGCAGAGCTCGATTTCTCCAGTCGTTAAACACGCGAGTAGAGAAAGTGATAGAAATAAAAACAAAAGTAAAGAGAATCGGCCTCTCTTTTACTTTTTATCTGTCTGAGAACTAAAAACGGGATTTTCTCCTTTGTTGTTTCAACTCCAGCTGAAGTGGAGGAGCCTGCTGGTCTGCGCTGCAGCGTTGGCACTCTGCCCTCTCACCCCAAGCGTAGTTTCCCCTCCTGTTAGCAGCTGCCTGGTCTTCCCACCCCTGGGCGCAGGGAGCTGAGAAGACTTCCTAGGTGAGGCTGCCCTGTGGGGTCACTGAGGTTCAGTCAGGGGAGTCAGGATCCTGTTTGGGGATTATATTGCAAAAGGTTATAGTAGAGAAGTTAAAAATAACAGCTTTGACACACACGTGCTGCACTGGGCGCTTGCTCCAGTTTGGATGAGCAGAACTTACTGCCCGGTCCTAACCTCTGACAGTCCTAACCTTCTTGTTTCCAGAAAAGGGGGGTCATGTAAAAATACTTTCTACATCCGGCCCCCAGGGTCGGACCTTGAGTTTATTTATTGCCATGCGACTGGTAGCTCCCTTAACTTGGCACTTGCCAGGAGAGGAGGGAGCCAGCCAGCCAGCCAGCGGCCAGCTCCCCTCCATGCCTCCTGACCTGCCCCCACCCCACCCCTTCTCTTCCCAGGACTCTGCCATTAGTTCATAGCTTGGACAACTAAGCGTGACTTTTTGTTGCCTGTAGGTGATTATTTTTTAAAGGATGCTTTCAGGATTAGAATGCGACCCTCCCTGAAGTGGACTCCATCCACTACAGTGAGTCGTAGCCTTCAGCCTCCCAACAGGGCGGGTGAGCGAGCTTGTCCTGGCTGCCCGGCCCCCTGGGCCCGAGCCCGGATCAACCGGTGGAGCGGGCACAGCACTTCCGGCCTTTCCACAGCAATCCTAAGTGGCCTTGGCAGCGTGATGGAGCAGCTCCAAATAGGATTAGATTCTAACGGCAGGACTTGGGGGGAGAAGCTGCCAGGGTAACAGTTTATATTTTTTTGCAGGGGTGGGGGGTGTTGTTTCCAAGATAATCATCCTACTGGTCTTATCCCCAATATGAAGCAGGTACCTTCAGAAGCTGCTTTGAAGAATGATTTGAAAAGATGGGGGATGAGTGCCAGGGAAACAGAAAACATGATTATTCAAAGGGCTGAGTAACCAAGGTCACGCCATGGTAAGGTGTTCTGTGCTGTCTGAAGCTGTCCATGGTTCTCGTGGAGGACATTTTAAAACGTATGTGTCAGCAGGAACTCATTGCCCTGCTCAGTACAAAGGAGAAAGAGGCATTTCTGGCATAGTCTATGTGTTGGCATTTGGTGCTATTAATATCTATGTCCAGCCAATTTGTTGTCTACCCTCAATTCTGACTAATCTCGTCATGTGCTTTGGGCATATAAAATTTTATATATATATTTTTTTCATTTTGCCAAAAACAAAGCCCGTCTTCTTATCAAATGATTACTAAAGTAGATTTCACTTCTTTAGTTCTGTCTACACTCACACCCTGCCCTTAGTGGTTTATATTTTCCAGGGAGCACCAGTTTTAAGGCTATGAGATACAACTAAAAAGGGTCCATCTCTTTAGTTTTCCAAGCAATTCTTGTACCCAGGCTTCAGGGAAGCATCTGAAATTCCCGTTATGTTTACAGCAGCCATCTGTCATTCCCCGGCTGGCTCCCAGCCCTTGCCTTCCATATGGTTAGAATCATGTCATTTTGTTACTTAGCGGCCACATCCACTCCTGCGAAAGACCAGTCGCATTTATATGGACTCTCAGGTATCATTAAAGAAAAGCCAGAGCAGGGCTGGGCAGACACCCCTGACCCCATGTACAGGGCCCTTGGCCGGCCTGTGTGATCACACACTGGTCTCCCAGCGAGGCGGGGCCTCGGAAAGCTCACCACCCACTTTCTGGAGAGAGGGGTACTCTCAGCGGCAGCCAGACTGCCACTGCCCGAATCCACTGGGCACAGCACGGAAACAGTAGGGCATTTCGCTCCCCCACACCCCGAGCCTAGCCCCTGAATTAGATAAGCCTCGTGACAGTTCCTTGAGCCCATCTCAAAACCTCTTTCTTTGTTATGACTTTAATTATTACTTGAGTCCAGAGTTCTCTATATAGAGTCCTGCTAGATCTGAGGGCCTCGATTTTAGTTGGCGCTCCAGCCCTGGCCAGTGGGCCGGGTACTCCTCTCCCTCCCCAGGGACAGCCATTACACACAAGAAACCATTTCATTTCTGGGAGGAAATTGATGAAAACGAATCAACCTTGAAATTTCATGAAAACAAAATGACCTGCCTTTTTATTTGATAGTGTAATATCATTTATTTTATAAATTTTTTAGGGGTTTTTTTTCTCATTGTAATATTATTGTACAGTTTTGCATGGCCTAGGTGTAATCATTTTTTTGTTTAGAATATAATACTGATAAACGTGTGTACGGAAGGGGAAGAGATACTGCTTTGGCCTCTTATCACTATTTCCTTTTGTTTGGTTTGATGCCTTCAATGTCTTAGGGAACTTTATAAGAGATTCTCTGCTACCAAACAATGGCGCGGATTCTTTTGCACAGAAATATTTAAGGTGGGATAGTAAAAAATGTAACAAAAGACTCCTCGCCAATATTTTATGTTGGTATCACTATTAACCAGACTTTGATGTATTGCAATAAAACAGGGAACTGTTAGAATTGAGTATATTTTGTCTTTTTTCCCCCCCTGATTAAAAAGTCTGAGCAATGGAGAAAAGGTGACTTGACTCTTTCATCTTATAGGATCCTGCTTCCTGCCGGGTCCCCTCCTCCTCCAGGCTTCCTCCTTACACTACGGAAGGACGGGGGTTAGTTAAACCAGGACTTTCTTAGTTCCTCCCATAGCTAAGGTAAGAATTGTGCTCAATTCTCTTGAAGCTCTCAGCTTCCCTCTTCTGGTCAAAACGTCCTACTACTACCCCTCCCCATCCGCAGGCCAGGTTGCTTCTATATCTTAGCTGTTACTAGTAATGCTTTAGTGAACCTAGGGTTGCATACATCTTTTCAAATTAGTGGTTTTGTTTTCTTCTGATTGATACCCAGAAGTGGAATTGCTGAGTTGTATGGCCGCTCAATTTTAAATTTTTTGAGCAGTCTCCATACTGTTTTCCATGGTGGCTGCAATTATTTACATTCCCACCAACAGTGCACACGGGTTCCCTTTTCTCCACATCCTCGAAAACACTTGTTCGTTGACTTATTGGTGATAGCCACTCTGACAGATGCAAGGCGATATCAAACTGTGGTTTTGATTTGCATTTCCCTGGTCATTAGTGATGTTAAGCGTCTTTACATGTGTCTGTTGGTCATCTCTTTGGAGAAATGTTTGTTCAGGTACTCGGCCCATTTATTAATTGGATTGTTTGGGGTTTATTTGTTTGTGTTAACTTGTATGAGTTCCTTACATATTTTGGGTATTAATCCCTTACTGGATGTATCATTTGGAAATATCATCTCCCATTCAATAGGCTTTTTGTTTTGTTGATGATTTTCTTCGTTGTGCAAAAACTTTTTAGTTTGATGTAGTCCCATTTGTTTATATTTTTTGTTTCCCCTGTCCAAAGAAACATATCCGAAAAGATATTCCTAAGACCAATGTCAAAAATTTTACTGCCTATGTTTTCTTCTAGGAGTTTTATGGTTTCAGGTCTTGCATTTAAGGCTTTAATCCATTTTGTATATGGTGTAAGAAATTGGTCCAGTTTCATTTTTTTTGCATGTATCTGTCCAGTTTTCCCAACATCACTTATTGAAGAGACTGTCTTCACCCCATTGTATATCCTTGCATCCTGTGTCGTAGATTGACCATTTAAATGAGGATTTATTTCTGGGCTCTCTGTTCTATTCCATTTATCTACATAACTGTTTTTATGCCAGTTTATAACTTTTATTTTAGCTATATTTATATAGTATATTTTGTATATACTATATATATAGTATATTTTGATATCAATCAGAATGTGGTACCTCCCACTTTGTTCTTCCTCAAAATTTCTTTTGCTTTTATTTGTGGTTCCATATAAATTTTAGGATTATTTGTAACTCTGAAAAGAATGCCGTTGGTATTTTAATAGGATTGCATTGAATTTGTAGATTGCTTAGGTTGTAAGGACATTTGAACAATATTAATCATTCCAGTGCATTAACAAAGTATATCCTTCCATTTATTTGTATCTTCTTTTTCTTTGTTCAGTGTCTTAGTTTTCAGAGTACAGGTCTTTCACCTCTTTGGTTTAATTTATTCCTAAAAAAATTTTTAGGTATTCATAAACTACCTAAAAAATGTATTTTACCCTTTTTGTTTGTTTGTTTCAAAGCTTATGATAAAGGATACAACTCAGGAACAGCCCATTTTATGCTTTTTTATGCTTTTAAATGGGATGGTTTTCTTAAGTTATTCTGATTGTTTGCTATGGGTCTATAGAAATGTAAGATTTTTGTATATTCTGCATCCTGAAATTTTACTGGATTCATTTATTCTAATAGTTTTGGGTGGAGTCTAGGGTTTTCTGTATATAGTGTCATGTCATCTGCAAATGATGAGAGTTTTACTTTCTGATCTGGATGCCTTTTATTTCTTTATCTTATTGGATTGCTGTGACTGGAACTTCCAATACTGTGTTGAATAGAAGTGGTGATAGTGTCGTCCTTGTCTTGCTGCTGATATTAGATGAAAGTCTTTGTTTTTCACTCTTATGATTATGAGCTGTGGATTAGTCATATATACCTTTATTATGCTGGTATGTTCCTTCTATATACACTCTGTTGAGATATGTTCCTTCTATATACCTATTCTATTGAGAATTTTTATAAAAAGATGAATTTTGTCAAATGCTTTTTTACATCTATTGAGATGATCATATGGTTGTTTTTTTGGGGGGGAGAGAATCTTTTTAATTTATTTTTTTATTTTTTAAATTAGTTTCAGGTGTGCAATGTTTCATTTTGGTAATATGATGTATCACATTGATTTATGGATGTTGAACCATCTTTGCATCCCTGGGATGAATCCCACTTGGTCATGGTATATAATCCTTTCAATGTATTGTTGAATGTGGTTTGCTAATATGTTGTTGAGAATTTTTGCATCTATGTTCAAGAATATTAGCCTGTAATTTTATTTTTTTGCAGTGTCTTTGTCTAGTTTTGGTATCAGGGTAATACTGCCTTCGTAGAATCAGTTTGGAAAAGCATCCCTTCCCCTTCAGTTTTTTTGAAATAGGTTAAGAAGGGTATTAATTCTTCTTTGAATGTTTGGTAGAATTCACCTGTAACACTCTCTGGTCTTGGATTTTTGTTTATTGAGAATTTTTTTGATTACTGCTTCAATTTCATTATTAGTAATCAGTCTGTTTAGATATTTTATTTTTCCTGATTCAGTCTTGCAAGGTCATATACTTCTAGAAATTAATCCGTTCTTCTAGGTCTGCGGTTGGCAAACTGCGGCTCGCAAGCCACATGCGGCTCTTTGGGTACATTCCATCTCAAAAGTTTGCCGACCCCTGGAAGAGCCAATCCTGTCCCTCACAACAATTTAAAAATTATTCGAGAGCCATAAATATATTTCTACATAATCACCATTATGTGAATAATATCCTTTAAAAATTTATAAATGAAACTATGATAGTTTTATTTTCATTTTTAATTGTACTTCAGAGCCACATTGTATGTACCCAAAGAGGTGCATGTGGCTCGCGAGCCGCAGTTTGCTGACCCCTGGCGGCTCTTCCGTCTCAAAAGTTTGCTGACCTCTGCTCTAGATTGCCAAATTTGTTGGCATATTATTGTTCATAGTATTCTTTAATGATTCTTTGTATGCCTGTGGTGTCGGTTGTACCTCTTCCATTTATTTTATTTGGGCTCTTGTTGTTTTTTTATGATGAGTTTGGCTAAAGGTTTTTCAGTTTTATTTATCTTTTCAAAGAACCAGCTCTTAGTTTTATTGATGTTTGCTATTGTATTTTTTTTTAATTTCTCTTTTATTTCCACTCTGATCTTATTTCCTTCCTTTACTTTGGGTTTTCTTTTTCTAGTTCCTTTAGGCATATAGAGTTAGTTTATTTGGGATTTTTCTTGTTTCTTGAGCTCTGACCTTCCCTCTTAAAACTGCTTTTGCTGCATCCCATAAATTTTGAAAAATTGTATTTTCATTTGTTTCAAGATAGTTTTTGATTTACTGTTTGATTTCCACTTTGATCCATTGGTGGTTCGGTACCATGTTTAGATCCATATATTGTTTTTTAGTTTTCTTCTTGTAGCTGATTTCTAGTTTTGTGCCATTGTGGTTGGAAAAGATGTTTGATATGATGATGTCAGTTTTCTTGAATTTATTGCAGCTTGTTTTGTGGCCTAATATGTGAGCTATTCTAGAGAATGTTCCACGTGCACTTAAAAACTGTATTCTGGAGTTTTGGGATGAAATGTTCTGACAAGGAACAGCAGGTGGTGCTGGGTGCCAGGGCTAACCCTCAAGGGGCCGCAGCTGTCATGTAGACCACCCTATCCTGTCACAGAGTGTCTGTTACTTGTCAATCCCAAACTGCAGAAAGTAGCGTTTCCTTCAAGAACGCTTAACACCAATATGAGAACCTATTTTGGATCACTACAGTCTCTCCAAAGTATTTCACTACGTAATGCACTTTTCAAGGTATTCACCGTCTGTTAGAAGGGCCCCCACCTGAATGTAATGCCCTTTTCAAGGTATTCACCGTCTGTTAGAAGGGCCCCCACCTGAATGTAATGCACTTTTCAAGGTATTCACGGTCTGTTAGAAGGGCCCCCACCTGAATGTTCAAATTGACCCTGTTACCTAGGAATTCCTTCTGCCCAGGAGAAGCCACTTTTCAGGATGATGAATGGGGGCTAAGACTTCCAGGTTCAGGCACCAAAAGCCTCACAGTGAGAACACGTGTGAACGTTGCAGGAACACCTGGAGACAGGATGGGGCATGACACTGACATTGGGCTCCTCCCTTTACAAGTGAGGAGCTCAGAACCCTTTACAAGTGAAAGAAGTAACGTCACAATGCTAGGATGTTGTGTTTTTATTGAAACAAGTAAATCAGACAATTACAAGAATTGTACAAAAATTAACAGAGCCTGTGATGACTCCCTCAGGTCCAACCGGGTGACATCTGCACATTCATCTCCTTCCACAAAAGCTCCTGGGCCTGGAGCGGGAAGGAGGTTCCCCCCCACACACACCGTCTCCTAGCACAGAGACGAGAGCTAGGTCACTTTTCTCCCCCCTCTGCTGCTCCTGACCCCTCCATGACCCCTCCATGGAAGGCAGCAAAGAGCAGGCTGGGCCTCAGGTGGTTAAATAGAACTTGTTGGCACTGCTCAGATGAGCACTTCTCCCGGCTCCAGAGCATGGGCTGGAGAGGAACAGGGCAGAGAACACCAATCTCATTCGAGAAACATATGCACACGCAAACCTGTACTACACGTTCAAGAAAATCCAAAACGGCTTCTCCATAAATTTTTGGTGGCAGGGATTCAAAGGGAGTACTTTCTCATCTTCCGGATAATTCACATTAGGGAAAACCCTTGTTACGAAAAGGAAAAGGAAATAAAATTGCCTTTTTACCTTTATCTAGAGTATTTCAGAGGACATGGATAAACAGGTAGATTCTGACAGAGTAGTTGCAGTTTCATTGCCATTCCACACCCCCTTAGAGATAAAAACCGTGAACAAGCGCTGGTGACGGGGCTCCAAGCAGCGTCCCCTGCGTCAGAGCCAGCCCCCCTTCTCCTTGGGCACAGGAGGTGAAATGCAGCCCAGCCTCCTTCTACTAGTCGCAGCTGCACGAGGGCGGACAGTTCCCACGGAGCACGAGCCCAGCGGCTACTGCTCGGTGCGCGTTTTGCAGTAGTTGCTGTAGGCCTCCTCGAACATGGCCTTACAGGTGAAGCGGGCCTTCAGCTTGGAGCAGATAAGGAAGGAGCCCCCCATCTTCCTGTGCAGTGAGTAGGTCTCTTCCGGGGGCGGGATGAGACGATGCTTCAGCATGATGGGGATCAGGTTGTGAATCTTCTCGGTCGTGCTCTGGGTGCCAAAGTCAAAAGGCTCCTCTGAGGCAAAGGCCTCGCCCAGGATGAGGATGGCGTCCAGGTGGGCGTCTTCCATGGCCTGGAGGAGAGGAGGGAGGGGTCAGCCCGGGGCTCCCACCACAGTGCCGGCTGGGTTTGCAGTTGAGGAGAGGGTCAGGGCGTGTTTCATCTTTAACTAGATTGATTAATGGTACCTGGAGCCAAAGCTCAACTCATTAGGAGGCGAGCCCGCCTAAGGGCACTCCAAGTCTGCACAGAACAGCAGGTTACCATCCTGAGCGGAGCCCCTGCACTTTCAATGAGTGCTGGGCCCCCACCAGCCGGGTCTTGTCAACCTCCTGCCCGGTCGTCAAGGAGAGGACAGGACTGCTATCTGAATGGCTTCTGGTGCCAGGAGCAGAGGGCTGCCCCCTTTTCAGAGGGCTCTCCTCACCCTTTCCCCGTGAGGCCTTAGGAAGAGCGGGCTGGGGCTTTGCTGTCCCATCCGCCCTCACTGAAGCCCTGGGCTCCAGTGGGACTGACCCGGTGGCACCAATCTCTCAGGGGGCTCGAGTGAGAGGGAACAAGGAGCTTCATGCCAAGGCCCCTGGACGCCCCAGCCTGCCACGCTGAGAACCGGGCGCAGAGGCTGGGGCGGGGCCTGGCTTGCAGACCGTGCCGGGCAGCCCGGGGCTGTGGAGACCCCTAGAGGGCAGCAGTCACCTGCGATTTCATCCATTTGTAAGTTGAGGTTCTGCTTAAGATGTCAAAGGGGAAAAGTCCACCGCCCACTCTCCCCTCCCCACACACAGGCAAGTTGGCCGGCCCGCAGGAGCTGCAGGCCTGTGGGGCTTGAGTCCACGGGAGCTCACCTTGACCTCATAGCCGGTGAGGAACTTCATCTCTATGGATTTCTTCAACACGGCCTCCCGGTCCCTGTTGGCAGCAGCCCTGATGATCTGGCAGGGGCACAGGGGGGCACGTGAGCGGCCCGTAAAGAGGAGCTCCTGAGGGCCAGGAGCCACCACCTGCCCCCACCTCCTTCCTTTCCGCTCTCTCCAAGCCCAGTTAACAGGAGCCCAGGCGCTGGTAAGCCTCCCTCCGGGGCCTCAGGCATCCCGCCCTACCCCTACCTGGATGTAGAGGTCAGTGAAGGACTTGTCAAATTCCCGAGTTGCGCCGAAGTCCAGGAGAGCCACCTGGGAAGGGGCGATACCAGGGAAGTTAGTAACCAGGGGCTGAGACCCCCAGATCTAAGAGTTCCCCCATTCCCTTGGGGGTGCCCCCCACCCAGGGGCTCACCTTGTGCAGCTGAGGGTCGTAAAAGAAGTTGGACCAGTTGGGGTCTGTCTGCATGAATTGGAACTCGAACAGCTCCCTCAGGCACAGGACCAGGATGTTGTAGCAGATCTGGACGGGGCAGGGCAGGCCCGTCACAGCGGCCAGGCTGCCTGGTGCCGCCTGACCCCCCTTTTCCTCCCCGTCTCCTGCCCAGAGATGACTTTCATTCCCAGTGTACCCCCTGGGGCAGGGCAGACTACACTGCAGCCCCTCGTCCCCTCACCCCCACAGGGAGCCTGGGGGCTCCAAGGCCAGCGGCAGACACACCTCGTTCCTGATCTCCTGGCTCAGCCCCTCGGCCTGGTCCAGGGGGAAACCGGACACCAGCTCTGTGGTCAGCACGTGGGGGCTGCAGAGCTCGTCCACGATCTCGGGCACGTAGAAGAAGGGGTGGTCCTTCAGCAGCTCCCTGGTGGGGGGTGGGGGGGTGTCACACCCTGGGCACGGCACACAGGGGACTGAGCCCAACAAGGAGGGAGTCCTGCTTTGGCATGGGCAGGATGTGGCTACGCCCCCAGGCCCTGACCACAGCCAGCTGCCTCCTCCCCCTAAAGGCGGCCCCCTCTGTCTCCCACGGGTGAGAGCACCAGGCAAGGGGCCCAGGGTGCAGCTGCCCGGACTGGAGCCACACCTGAACTTCTTGGCACAGGCGGCCTCTCGCTGGTAGTCACACTCAAGGGCCAGCTCCCGCCTCAGCACGTCAATCAGGTGCTCAGGGAACAGGCCTGGGCAGGGGAGGAGGGTGTCAGGGTGCACCGGGGGGTCCCCACAGAGGCCCCCTCAGGTGCTCAGAGCCCATCCCCAAAGCCTGCCCTTGACCAGCGGCCAGCCCGACCTTCCGGGAGCATGTTGCTCATGTTCAGCACGGCCATGAGGTTGTTGACGTCACTGTTGATGCTCTGGGCCACGCCAGGGTACTGCAGGGGGACAGAGGTGGTGTCCCACAAGGAACAGCAAGGCCATTGGAGGGGAACCCCCGCTCACCCCGCCACCTGTCAGCTTCCCAGCAATGTCCCACCCGACCCCACACCTTGGGCGAGTCCTAGGTAAGACCCAGTGATGCTGTCGTGACCCCTGGGTCCCATCCCAACCTTGTTCTCCACTGTCTGCCTCCCACCCCATCAGGGCCACCCCCCTCCACCTCAGGCCCAAAGCAGACAGTCACTGGCCCCCGTCAACTCCCCACCCAAACCAAGTTTGCCGGGAGGCTGTTCACCTCCCGCAGCCACCAACTCAGCCAGGTGCCAGGGCCAGAAATGATGACATGGGCCTTGCCCTGCACAGCCCCAGAGGTAAAGTGCACACACAGGGCACCTACCTGGATCTTCATGGCCACCTCGCGGCCCCCCTTCATGCGGGCCAGGTGCACCTGTCCAATGGAGGCGGCGGCAAAGGGCCGCTCCTCAAAATACTCCAGCTTGTCCCGCCAGTTGGGGCCCAGATCATTGTTGAGAGTTTTCTAGAGGAAGAGGCCAGGGAGGGGCCGTGAGCACAGCCCAGCCACCGGGGACACCCTGAGAAGCACCCACTGCCCTCCCCTCCCGGCCTTCCTCACCGTCATCTGTTTCAGCGGCATGAAGTCAGCGCTCTGCCTCACCCGCTCAAAGATCTTGGCCAGATGGGGGTTGATGAAAGCATCGTCTGGAAAGGACCAGAGAAGTCAGTCAGAGCGGAGGGCTGACCCCTTAAGGAGCGCAGGCCCAGGACAGAGCGGTGTCCTAGGAGCGTGGCCGAGAAGTTGCTCTACCCCAGGTTCAGAGACGACAAGGCACGGGCCCAATGCCACACAGCAGGCGCAGCCTGGCGGCATCTTCCCACCTGGGACACAGGTGGACAGAAGCTCCCGGACCTGGAAGTGCACTCTCCTGGGGGCACTGCAGCCAAACAACCATCTCCAGAGACACCCCCACCCCAGCCCATGACGCCCTCTTTCTCCAGGACACTGGGTAGCCCGGGGGCTCTGGGTGGGGCAGCGGCTCTGACTCAGCCAATAACCTGAGAAGGTGGGCTTAGAAATAACAGGCACAGCTTCTTACGATTATACAAGAGCAAATTTAGGAAATAAAATGTAAAAAAAAGATCCATAATCTGACCACCTACAGAACTACAAGTTTTCTTTCTGGCCCTTTTTCTGTGCTTCCCTAACAGTAGTTACACAGCAGACAGCCTGTCCCAGCCCCACACAGCGGCTCTCACGAGCACTCGCCATGCTGGTACACAGTTTTCAGAAATCTCTGAAATGGCACTGCTGGAGGGCGCGGAACACTCCCTGCTTAGCGGTGATGCCTGTGTAAACACACCTACCAGTCGGATAAAACAACAGCACATACAGTAACGTGCAGTACACGCACGATACCTGATAAACGACTGTTACTGCTTTATGTATTTTAGAGTGGACTCTTTCTACTTATATAAAAACGTTTACTGTAAACAGTCTGCTGTGTTGGGCTGACAGCAGCCTCACACATCGCGTGTTTACCGCGTCTCCTGATGGCATCCTTTCCTCCTGTGCTTGATATAAGCTCGTGTTTCGTCCAGTCGTGTGCGGTACGGGCTTGTAGCCCGGGCCGGCAGGCTGCACCACGGCCTGGGGCAGGCTTTGCCTTCTGGGGTAAGTGCACATGCTGATGGGCACACGATGACAGTGTCCAACGACACAGCCCGTCCTGAAGTGCACATGGCTGTACTGTGAGCAGAACGAACCCTGCGATATGGCCCCTGCACAGCCTTGGCCATGGCACCAAGGTAGTCCTAAGGTCAGCCACTACACGCGGAGCTGCTGGAGTCGGGGCTTGTGAACTGCGGCCGACCCCGCCCGCCTGCCCTGAGTGTGGCCAGCCCAGTGAGTCCATCTGACCGCTCCCGAGGGGACTCGCCTCAGATGCTCCTCCCCAGGGCTCCCCAGAACCTCAGTTCTGCTCTTGGGGCCACACTGAGGTGTCCTCCTCAGCTGCCTTCCCCAGGCTGCCCTCCTTGGGGCCTATAAGCCCTCTGTTCGACATGGCGGGAGCGGGTAGCCCGACTCTCGCCAACTTTTGAGATGCCAGGATAACCTCTGGGTATCTCAAAACACACAGAAAGAAGAGAAATGACTGGGCTCCTGTTTGAGTCACTGTTGGCCAGCAGCCAGGATTCAGGCACGAGGAGCCGGTGGGTAGACAGCCTCCCTCCCGGCCTCCCGGGGGGCCGCGCCCGGCAGGGCCCCACTCACCCTGGATGCTCAGCATCTGGCCCAGCTTGAGCGCCGCCCCGCGCACCTTGCACAGCGTGCTCACGATGCGCTCCGCGTTGGCCTCGGACAGGAAGGGGCTGGAGTCCAGCACGGCCTTCTTCCCTGTGGGCAGGAGCCGGGTCACCAAGTGCACCCCTCCCCTCCTGGTGTCTGGGGGCCTCCCTCAACCCCCAGGGCCAAGCGGCCAGAGGAGGAAGAGGCGGAGCAGGGCTCGCAGGTGGCCCCAGAGAGGCGGCAGTCGGGTGGGGTGCATGGCCTGGGGACCCACGTGGGGAGACGCAGCCGGGGCTCAGGGAGCCTGACTGCAACCCACCCAGCGTCCCCTGGTCGTGTGCCTCGGGCACGCCATAATCGTCTCTGATCCTCGGTAAACATGGACAGCAGAGGACATCAGGGATTTTTAAGGGTGACTCCAGAAAGCCCAGCACCAAGCCTGTCAGGAGGCTCAGTCCATGTCCTTTCTCCCGGTGCCCATAAGACCAGCACCACACTGTGGCAGGCCTGTGAGCCCCCCACCAGGCCTGTGAGCCCCCCGCCCCCAGCACGGGGCGTGGGGTGGCAGCCAGACTCCTTGAACTCCATGTTCCACACCAGGGCTGTGGAAGACCCTCCAGGGCCACCAAGGTCTCCCCAGCACACACACACACACACACGTGCACACACACATGAAAGCGTGCACACACACGGCCACTCCCTCCATATGAGGCCTGGACCTGGAGGTGACACACCAAAGGGCACAGTCAGTTGGGTGGGAGGGGCCTGGAGGGACCCAGTCGTAGGTGAGGACTGCCAAGTCAGTGTCCTTTGCCCCACTCGCAGTGTATGGGACAGAGGTCACCAGCACCCCTGGGGTCACTGAGCATGCACCACAGGGACAGCCGGCTGCAGTAAGAGCTCCCTCTTCAAGGAGGGGAGCTCAGGGTCAAGGTCAGCACTCATCCGCTGGTGCCTGCCTCCCCTCTGCCCAGGGGCCCCTGCAGCTGCCAGCTGGCCCGGGGAGAGTGTGCAGAGATGTCGGGTGCAAATGACCGTTGTTTGGTACACTTGGGGCGGCAGGGTGCAGGGGGTGACGGGCTGAGGGAGGCCAGCAGTGCACCCCCTCAGGGGTCAGGGCCCCCGGGCCAGCGCCCGTCCCAACCTCGGCGGCCCTGCCTAAGTACAGAGCCGGCCTGTCTGAGGTGGGGAGAGGCCTGCTCCACGCCCCCACTGCCACCCCTGAGCTTCCACAGCACCCTCTGCACTGCCCTCCAGCCTGTGACGTTTGGTGCTCTGCCTGCCCACTCTCCTGAGCCCACTTAGGTCAGAACCCCGAGGGCTGCCCCGCGGTGCCCAGCACTTTTCTCAACCTGCACCACCGCGGGCCTGGCCCAGTGCTCAGAGGACTGAGCCAGGTCCTCCAGGAGGGTCCAGGCGAGGCGGCCCGAGGACCACAGAGGCCCAGAGCCTGCTCAGGAAGCTGGAGCAGAGCTGGGGGGCTGCCAGGGCCACCCCTCCCTGGCCTGAGCCCCAGGTCCTATGACTCCTGGGCCCCTTGACCCCGAGCCAGGGTCACCGCCTCACTGACAAAGGACACCAGCTGTAGCCCTGGAGCCAGGCCCTCTTCCCTGCTTGGACGTGGTGGGGTGGACGGCAGCCAGCTTCAGGGGGCCTGGGGAAGACTGGCTTCTCATTCCAGAAAAAGCCAGGCTCAATATCCCACAGTGTCTCCGCACCAGCACTAAAAATACCCTCGCTAAATCCTCTCTGTCGTCTGGTCCCTTTCAAGGATACACATGATACCCCGTGTCCTCTGTACTCAGGGGCTTGTGGGGACAGGCTAGTGCCTTCTCTCCGGGAGGGCCCTTGTCCCCACAAGAGCGTTTTACGGGTGAAGAGAAGCTGTCTACGTGACTGGCAGAGCCCCAGGGGAGCTCAGCCCTGAGCTGGCAGCCAGGGCGACAGGGGCAGAACAGTAGGGTGTCACTGGGGAGGGTCCCCATGGAAGGGGGAGAAGGTGTCAGATGCTGGAATGAGCTGACATCCCCTGGGGGGACAGCTTTCTGACCTGAACCCTGCTGAGAGACGGGACAGGCCCTATGGGGTCTGTCCCAACAGCACCCACATCCCTCAACCGAATGTGGGACCCTGGGCACCTAATCTGGCCAAACCAACAGGCCCCAGCAGCTCCAGAGCGGGCGGGCAGAGGCAGGGCCGAAGCCGTGGCTCCCCGGGGAGGGCAGGGGTGCAGCCGCCGGAGGAGCCGGGAAGGGCTGGGTGAGCAGAAGTGGGTGGCAGGAGGGGCAAGGCGGCCTTCAAGCTTCAACCAACCCCAGGGGGGCCATTTACATGGAACTCAAGGTGATCGTGACCCTGAAGGTGGGACATGAGGCGACACTCCTGGAACACAGGTGAGGGCCGCTGGCTGACAGGCCCACCTCCCAGAGCCCACCCTGCCTCCTGGTCAAGGGCCTGGCTTACCTGAGGGGTCCTCAGGGCGGAGGCTCTTCTTGGCGACCTCAGCCAGTGCCCCAAAGCCCAGACCCACGGCCAGACCTGCAAGGAGAAGATGGAGGTCACGGGGCATGCAGGTAGGGGTGGGGCTACTGCCCACCGCCCTCCACCCATGAGCCCTGGAGCCACAGACACCAGCCTGAGCTCCCAGGGACCCTCGCTGACACTCCATTTTGAAAAGGGTAGGAGATACTTGTCTTTTCCAGAGAAGACTGGGCTCAAGGTAGGTGCTCTGTCTGCGAAAGCTTCATCCGCCCCCAGCCCCCACCACCTTCACTCATCTATAGGCTCATAAGACACACAAATACACCCCAAGATAATGCCCAACTGGGAAGCACGCTGGGAGGACCCAGCACAAATGGAAGCTGGACCAGGCACGGCACACCCCCTTGGAACACCGCCCCCCCCTGCCAAGTCTGAGGCGAGCCTCCAATTCTCCAGAATTCTCCGAGTTCACTGCAACTGGAAGGAAAGGCCTCACTCAGCGCTATGAAGCAGCCATTGGTGCGAGTCAGAATCTTTTGCAAAAGCAAAAGGCCAGGTGTCCCCAGTCCAAGCCATGGGGACTCACAGGAGCTCAGGCTGCAGCGCTCAGGCACTGACAGTCATAGGGTACCACATCTCCCCGCTTTTTGCCATCTTTTAAATCAGAGTTCATTAACACCTCATTTATGACGGGAACTGGATGACCCCAACTGGCCAGGAGACACCCTAGGAGTCCAGCTGGTGCCACAAAGGCCACAGAAAGCCCCCGGGGGGGGGCTGGCTTGGGGCCTATTTCCTCTAAACACAGTTCTAGCTGGATGCGGGGTGGGGGCGGGGGACACACATTAACAGAGAGAGTGAAGAACATGCTGACACACTGAGCACAGCAGAAGGGACAGCAAAGACCCAGGAAAGACACCAGGGGGCCTCGAAGAGCACAGCCTCGGGGGACCGCCCCTGTCTCCCGGGGGTGAGCTCACGCTGGGCGCGCTAACAGGCAAGGAAACCTACACAGGCTTCCGTGTCTTTCCAGTTTTCTACAATGATTACGCAGGACTTTTATGAAAAATGAAAGCTCCTGCCTCAGAGGTTGTTGGGAGGATTAAACAATGAAAGCAGAGTGCAGCAGCCTGGGCCCAGGGTGCTGCTGTGAAAGTGCTGGCTATTATTTCTCTTACTCAAATGGTTAGGCCAGAGCAGTGCAAAAGAAATGGAACACGAGCCACTCACAGAGTTCTCAAGTTTCTAGTAGCTACATTAAAAAAGCAAAAAGAAGTATGTGAAATGAACTCTCATCATTTATTTTCTTTAACCAGGTGGATCCAATATATTATTTCAGTAAGAACTCAATATAAAAATTATTAGAGATAGTTTATTTTTTTTTTTTTTTTTTGGTCCTAAGTCTTCAAAATCCAGGGTGTATTTTACCCTCAGAGCATGTCTCAGTTGGGACCAGCCACATTTCAAGTACTCAACACCCCATGCGGCTGGTGGCTGCTGCAGGGGACAACAAGGGGCACGATAAAGCCACAGTCACCTGGAAATGGCCCTCAGTGTCACCCAGGGCCCACCCCGGGCAGCTTGGTGTACTGTTCTCCCCGACCATCCCCTCCCTGCCCAGCTCCAGAGTCACTGGGCACAACGCTGGGAGCCGCGTCTCCAATTAAACATTAACTCCCCTGCCGCCTGCCCACCTCCGCCCCACCGAGCACACTATCTGGATTAGCAAAATAAATGATAACAGGCCATAACCTTCAAACTGGAGTAACCTTCACCAATGTCTCTGCATCTAGATTTTCCTGTGCCTAGATCAAATCCAAAGACAAACCTATAAAAGAGGCAGATGGCGCCAGGGGTTATCCAGCCTGGCCACTATCAGCTGACACCACAGCTGTGCGGGGCCCCGAGCCCCTCCTTCTTTAGGCAGGGGCACCCCCCAGCCCCTCCTGCTGGGACCCCTCAGATGCTGTCAAACTGTTCTCTGGCCATGTCTAAACTGCAGGTCCGAGCCAAAGCACTCCAAGGCCAAGGACCTGTCATTCAATAAATCACAAGAACATTCTGCAAAAGAGGCCTGAGGCTCGTCCTCTGGTCCTACGAGCTTCCTCAGCACCAGCCCAAGGCCAGGCCCGAGGTGCTGACAGGCTCCCCACTGCAGCCCAGGCAGTGAAAGAGGCCCAGCCAGTCCGGCAGCCCTGACCTTGGCCTCAGGAGCTCCTATTCTAGTGCGCCGAAAATAAGCTGGCTCCCCACATCCCAGACCCGGCCAAGCTTAAAGCAATTCCCAGAACCTTGTTGAGAGGGGAGGGCAGGCCCCAGCTGGAGTCTTCCTTCTCCCAGTGCCGGGTAGCACCTGGAGGCAGCTCCCCGGAAGATTGTGCCTCCGTCTCGGATTCCCCAGGACCTGGTGAGGACCCCCCAGAACCGACGCTCGCTCGTGTGCTCGCTCTGTCACCTGGGGCCCCACCTCAGGACCCCGCTGCCCTCAGAAGAGCGTGCTTCTCCATGTTCTGATCCACGCTCAGGCCTGGCCAGGACCACTTGGCCTGCTATGAGTCCTGCAGAACAACCAGCCACAGAACCTGCTGGGCAGCCCCACAGCCTGGCCTCCATCCTAGCCTGAGAGAAGGCACCAGCCCCTTCCAAGAAAGTTCCTGATGTTTCTCTCCAGAGGTTTTGCAGTCAAGAAATGCAGGGGGTAATATTTTTACTGAGATATCCCCTCGGGCAAGGGAAATAAAAGAACAAATTAACATATGGGATTACATCAAACTTAAAAGTTTTTTCACAGCAAAGGAAATCATCA